TGTGTCCCTGCTGTGTCCCTGCTGTGTCCCCACAGTATCGATGCTGTGTCCCTGCTGTGTCCCCGCTGTGTCCCCAAAGTGTCTTCACAGTGTCCCTGCTGTTGCCCTGCTGTGTCCCCAAAGTGTCCCTGCTGTGTCACTGCTGTGTCCCTGCAGTGTCCCCACAGTGTCCCATTTGTGTCCCTGCTGTGTCCCCACAGTGTCCCTGCTGTGTCCCCACAGTGCCCCTGCTGTGTCCCTGCTGTGTCCTTGCTGTGTCCCCACAGTGTCCCTACTGTGTCCCCACAGTGTCCCTGCTGTGTCCTCACAGTGTCCCATTTGTGTCCCTGCTGTATCCCCAAAGTGTCCCTGCTGTGTCCCGACAGTGTCCCCACAGTGTCCTCACAGTGTCCCTTCAGTGTCCCTGCTGTGTCCCCACATTGACCCTGCTATGTCCCCACAGTGTCCCTTCAGTGTCCCTGCTGTGTCCACACATTGACCCTGCTGTGTCCCCACAGTGACCCTGCAGTGTCTCCACAGTGACCCTGCTGTGTCCCCACAGTGACCCTGCTGTGTCCCCACAGTGACCCAGCAGTGTCCCCACAGTGACCCTGCAGTGTCCCCACAGTGACCCTGCAGTGTCTCCACAGTGACCCTGCAGTGTCCCCACAGTGACCCTGCTGTGTCCCCACAGTGACCCTGCTGTGTCCCCACAGTGNTGTCCCTGTTGTGTCCCCACAATGTCCCCCACAGTGTCCCTGCTGTGTCCCCACAGTGTCCCTGCTGTGTCCCTGCAGTGTCCCTGCTGTGTCCCCAAAGTGTCCCTGTTGTGTCCCCACAATGTCCCCCACAGTGTCCCTGCTGTGTCCCTGTTGTGTCCCCACAATGTCCCCCACAGTGTCCCTGCTGTGTCCCTTATGTGTCCCTGCTGTGGCCCTGCTGTGTCCCCACAGTGGCCCTGCTGGGTACCTGCTAAGTCCCCACTGTGTCCCTGCAGTGTCCCTGCTGTGTCCCTGCTGTATCGATGCTGTGTCCCCACTGTGTCCCTGCTGTGTCCCTGCTGTGTCCTCACAGTGTCCCTGTTGTGTCCCTGCTGTGTCCCTGCTGTGTCCCCACAGTGTCCCTGCTGTGTCCCTGCTGTGTCCCTGCTGTGTCTCCACAGTGTCCCTGCTTTGTCCCCACAGTGTCCCTGCTGTGTCCCAGCTGTGTAACTTCTGTGTCCCCACAGTGTCCCTGTTCTGTCCCCACAGTGTCCCCACAGTGCCCCCACCGTGTCCCTGCTGTTTCTCCATAGTGTCTGTGGTTTGTCCCTGCTGTGTCCGAGCTGTGTCCCCACATTGTCATTGCTGTGTCCCCAGTTTCCCTGCTATGTGTCACCACTGTGTCCCTGTTGTGTCCCTACAGTGTCCCTGCTGTGTCCTCACAGTGTCCCTGTTGTGTCCCTGCTGTGTCCCTGCTGTGTCCCCACAGTGTCCCTGCTGTGTCCCTGCTTTGTCCACACAGTGTTCCTGCTGTGTCCCTGCTGTGTCCCCAAAGTGGCCCTGCTGTGTCCCTGCTGTGTCCCCAAAGTGTCCCTGCTGTGTCCACGCTGTGTCCCTGCTGTGTCCCCAAAGTGTCCCAAAGTGTCCCTGCTGTGTCCCTGCTGTGTCCCCAAAGTGTCCCTGCTGTGTCCCTTTTGTGTCCCTGCTGTGTCCCTTTTGTGTCCCTGCTGTGACCCTGTTGTGTCCCTGCTGTGTCCACACAGTGTCCCTGCTGTGTCCCTGCTGTGTCTGTGCAGTGACCGGTGTGGACTTCCAGCTGAATCCACAGGTGAATCTATGCAGATCAGCCAAGCTTGGAAGTCCAACTACCTGAAATCTTCCTGGATGTGAAGTGAAAGTCTTCAGCTTCACAACAGGAGTTCAGTTGTCTTGTGTTGACCATATCTTTGGAYTTATCATGACCTGGATGACTGAGAATCTTCACCAGCAGATGGAATTTGTACTTTACATTTTCAAGAGCTCCTACTTTCCTGATTTTTTATAAACAATCCAAATCAAATACAAATGAGGTGTTTTATACTTTTAAACCTCCAGATCCATGTTACTGCTTCTATCCACCAAATTCTTAATGTTTGTTTACAAACCCAGCTGTGTTCCATCCCTGCTGGATCCTAAATGTGATGGTTAGACTCTCACCTCGGCGGCAAACACACACGGCTCCTTCTGCTCTGGGATGAGAAGCACTGGTTGATACAGATTTTCCTTTGTAAAACTGAGAGTAGACCCGATGACTGCTGAGTCACAGTTCTTACTGTTCAGGCAGAAGAGACAGGACACTGGTTCAGCAGCAGTAAYACAGTTGGACAGGAATACAGCCATGGGAAAACAAAGTCCACCCTCTCTCACATCTAACCCGAAGTAATCAGAAACAGATCAGAGATTCATTTCACCATGTCATTACTGAAAAACAACTAAATATTAAAGCTGGGACTGAAAAGTCATGCACAGTCATTTGGATGGTTGAGCAAATACTTTGGGCAATATTGTGTATTTCCACCCATATTGCGTTCATTGTTTCCAACATCTTACATTGATGATGGTAGAGTCTGACCTTCTCCAGCACATCCCAAAGATTCTCAATGGACTCTGTGGAGCCGATCCATGTGTAGAAATGATGTCTCATGCTCTCTGAACCACTCTTTCACAATAAGAGCCCCATGAATCCTGGCATTGTCCTCTTTGAATCTGGTCGTGCCATCAGGGAAGAAACAATCCACTGATGGAATCACCTGCTCATTCAGTAAATTCAGGTAGTCAGCTGACCTCATTCTTTGAGCTGAACCTACACATGACCACTGCAGCAACCCCACATCATGGACCTTAGTTCAACCCAGCAAGCAGCGGACAAATACTTGTTGCTTGATCTGTCCATTGGACATTGTTCCAGAAGTCCTGTGGTTGGTTTAGATAAAACTTAAAGAGTAACTTACCCCAAAATTAACTTTTTTAAGCTGATAAACTGTCTAGAATGTGTCTAAAATGTTATATAGTAC